TTCTGGATGTTTTCTTGTTAAAAAACAAAAACAAAAACAAAAACCTCAAAAAAGATGAAATCTGAAAACATCCTGAGCAGGTCTCACTGTCTCCATTCCTGACAGGATGGGAAGACAAGGAACAGGGCTCACAACACCAGAACACCCGGGAGAGGGAAAACCAGCCACAGACTCTTCGGATATAGCCTCGCTGTTTGGTTCTGGGCTGAACAGAACCCACGAGCACAGCTAACACCGACTTGCAAACACAAAGAGCAAGAGCTATCCGGTCCACCAGCTTCCAGCCTCCCAAGACCCAGCACCCAACCAAGGCTTGACGGGAATCCATTAATGGAGTCACAAACTCTTTGGCTGCCTCTTCTCACCCACACCGCTCTAAGGCAGAGGTTATTCTGAGAGAACATCAGCTGTGGATGGTCCAGGGGTACCTCCAGCCCAGGGAGCCTTCAGTGGAATCCATGCACCTGACCCTTCTGCATACACATAGCACGGAAAACTGGTTCACTCCAGGAGGGGCCTCAGGCAGGAGAGCAAGCTTTGTAAGGACATGTCCTTTCTGATGGCTGTGCATCTAACAGTCACAAATTCCTAGTTGGTGTTTCTGCAGTAATCACCAAAGATGTACCGTAGTGCCGTGGTCTCTGAGGCTGTAATCCCCTAAGGTCCTTTGGTCTACCTTGACTGCTATGAAAATCTCCAGCTTGGACCTCTTCTAGGGGTTCCCTGTAAACTGACCTGTCAGGTTCTGGTCATCCATGAGCAAACACTGAGAAGATCCCAGGGACGCATGTGTATCTCCCGACTGTTATGGAAGGTATCAGTGGGAGCCAATTAAGCAGAAATTTTATACACACAATTAGCTATACACAAAGCCTATTAATATGCTACACAGAGTCTACATAAATTTTTGTTTGCTGACATTTTAATATCTAAAATGCAAAAGACTGGAGAGAGGACACAGGCTGTGCTATGTGCCATACATTGACTGCGGCAGGAGAGGAATGCTGACCTCCTGAAAAGTGACTGCTGTGTAAGATGTGCACTCCAGGAAGTCGGCAGCGCCTGCGGGAGCACGGCTGCTTCCCTCCTTCCTCATGTGTCAGTGCTGACAGGGGAGGCGATGCTCACACCCTTCAGTTACGGGTTCAGAGAGACTGTGCGGCAGACATACTCAGCTGCCGTCTTTGTGTTTCTTACACGTCACTTGTGCAGCTGCTGTTCACCAGACACAACTGCCATTTTCACCCATCAGAGCAACTATGGGATAGACATTGTAGTCAAGGCTGAACCAGGATATATGGACAGAGAGACTTACACACACACACACACACACACACACACACACACACACACACACACGTGCACACATTGTGCATTAAAGTTCACACTGCTCTTTACATAACCTTCCCTTAGAATATTGCAGATTATTCCAGAAACAGAAGCCTAGGTCATCAAGGATGCTTTGTTCTTCCTCTCCTTGCCAGGGCCACAGACTTCCTGCCCCACCCCCTGTCTGTGAACAGCTCACATCCTGTGGGATCTTGTTCATAGACCTCTCATTTATTTGACCACAACTCTGGCAATGATCAAGTGACTTCTCAGTTCTTATCAATTTAAGAACAAACATAATAAAGTGGCTCCCGCCCTCAGGAGGTGTACAGTCTAATGAGAGACAAACCCCAAGTAGGGAGGAAACTTCAGGTTTGGGTGGCATGAGCTCAGATGACGATAACTGAGACCTCGGGGTCACTGAAGAGTTTTCAGGGGATGGGGAGGGAAGGTCTGAGTTTATTTCTCCTCTTTTACTTCTCGTAAAGCCTCAGGGTAGGGTGTTTTTCTAACTCTGCTGCTCCTTCCATGGGCCTCACCGCCTTTCTACCGACCATGGGTGGAAACTCCTACCCTCAGCTAAGCAGCAGCTGCCACAAACGGCTTCTCGTGAACTGGATCCCCACATATCTCCCTGGAGTTTCTTACGTTTCTGTATTTAAGACCCATACAACCTACTCCCCTCCCCTGCACTGAGCTCTGCTCACTTGGTCTTCCTGAGACACATTTCCCCTTACTGAGGCTAGATCAAGTTCTCCTTCCCTGGGGAAGCCTTCCCTGCCTATCCTGGGATAGACACCTACACAGCACATACAGTGTGATAAAAAGATGTGCTAGTACAGCTAGGCTTCAGCTCAGGGGTGGTCACTGGCTCTAATTAAGAATTCACATTTCAGGAATGACCAGTTAACATGAATTCCCAATGGCAACTTCCAAACCCCTCCACCCCAGCTTTTTATATAATGACCAATACTTAAGACTCTGCAAATGAACTAAAAAAAATCAAAATTTTTAATTGGTAAAATTAATGGCTTGTTAGTCAGTACAGTGAATGCTGGAAATAGACTCTCATTGGTAAAATAAAAGCTATTCAAGATGTGTAAGTAAGGAAGAATACTTGAAAAGTTGTACCTACTCTTACATGAGGAAGGAATAGGTGTACACTTGGCCACTTAAGAATGACACCAAGGGCCATGTGAAAGTAGTCCTGGCTTGGTGGTTTTTTGTTTGTTTGTATTTTGAGACAAGGTCTCACTATGTATCCCTGGCTGATCTGGAACTCACTACACAGACCAGGCTAGACTCGAACTCATAGAGATCTGCCTGCCTCTGCCTCCCAAGTGCTGGGACTAAAGGTGCTCCCAAGCCTCAGACAGGATGTTCCTTTAGACGACATTGATTAGAGGAGCAACAGACATCTGTGGTGGCATCCTTCTCTGATTTTGGTCAGACATCTGAAGCCACACAGCTAAGGCATTACCGAGTTTGAAAAACAGGTGTATCAATCAACTTTTAAATGAGTAGCTAATAAATTCCTAGCTATGTGGCAGAATTTGCTTTCACGAGGCTGCAGAGGAGTAGCTAACCATCCCGCCAAGCCCCTCATGGTTCTTCTAATCACAAAGCACATGAGGTCGCACAGGACGCTCAGCCATTCAGAAACAAGGACCCTGCTTGGGGCTGGCAGAGCACCCGGCACACTTTCCTTGGCGTGCTCAAGCTGCACGGTAGTTGTGAGATCACCTGTCTAGTGTTGAGATTCTTGAGGCCAAAGACTGCATTGTCACGTCTCGTCCAATGCTTAGCTCTGCAGCTAGCATAAAGAAATACTTGAAGACTGAATAATAACGAGTAAGCAACGTGATCAATGGAAAAGGCACACGGGAGTTGATGGCCCATGTTAAATCGTGGTGTTCACCACAATACTTGCCACGCATCTAACACAAATGTTGCACACTTCAACAGCACTTTGTTTAGTTTTTAGGGCCATTCTAAGATCATCACTGTCTCACACGGGAGGAAGAAAGAAGCCAGCTTTTAGAGTCTTTGCGTTTAAGCCCGGTTATATGTGAAGCCTATGCCTTTAATCACCATGTTGGATGTGTGCTGCATGGGTGCTGGTCAAGAACGTCTACAACCCAATTTCCTTCTGTAATTATTGTAATTATTTCATGTTTACTGGGTGAGACGAACAAGGCTCTACTGTGACTGGCTGCTAATGGTACCCAGAGATTCAGGAAGGTCTGCACAGCAGTGGTCGGAGTTGCTATGGGCGTTTGGGAAGGGGCCTAACAGGAGATCCTTCAGTCCTTGGGAACTACGGGAAGCTGGTCACCCTCCCTCCACTGCCTGGCTCAGGAGATGAGAACCTATTTCAAATGTGGTCCTGCCTCCATGTACCACTTGCTCTTAAAGCCCACACCCACGAAGCTGCCAGGCCATGAATCCAAACCCACACGGGAAATGAATCTCCTCTTCTCTGTGACTGCATTTCACAGTAGTGACAAGAAGCTGACTAAGTGCTCAAGTTAAGCCAGGTGGCTCTGAGAAGCCACATTCTACCCCTCAGTCCTGCCTGCCCATGGTACTGGGAAAAGAGCAGAGTTATTCCTGTCTGACACGTTGTTTCAGGACGTTTCAGATGGTGGGTCTTGTTTTTATCCTTTTTCTGTTTGAAAATGTCAGAGTTTGTGGGCAGAGAAGAGGGACCGGTGTGTGTCACACTGCTTTGAAGCTAAAACCAGCTGTGGGTAAACAGAGCCACAAGCTGTCGTTTGTGTTCCATAGACACTTTGCTGACATCATTGCCAGCTAAAATTTAAAAAAAGGTTGGAGAGGGCACAAAATCAAAATAAAACACCAAAACCCAGCACTTCAACCATCAGAAAAAGCGGTAAACGAAGGCGAAGGGAAGCCAGGCCACTTACATCCTCAGTACCAGTAGTTCTCAACCTTCCTAACGCTGTGGCACGTTACAGCTCCTCAGGCTGTGGTGACCCCAACTGTAAAATTATTTTGTTGCCACTTCATAATTACAATTTTGCTACTGTTATGAATCGTAATGTAAACATCTGATACACGACCCTGTGAAAGGGTCGGAACCCACAGGTTAAGAATTGCTGCTTCAGACACCAGCTACAGCAAGATAGAGAAAGGGGCTGTAGAGGTTCTCTTAATGCTGTCTGAGCATGGTTCTGGTCAGAGACTCACAGCCTATCGGCAGGAACAGTGGCACAGAAGACACCATCATCTACTGATGGCCCTTATGTGGCGTGTGCTGAAAAGCAGTATCTCTAGACAGTTTATTTTGGGCACAGCTACCTGGAGGGAAAACGTGTCACTGAGAAAACTAGACAGCTTTCCCCTCAGAACATTCTTCATCTGCTATTGCCCTCGGACATGAGGATGTCAGCCCTGGGAGGCTGTGGATGCTAACTCCACAATGCATACAGTACTTAGTTGCCAGGAGACTGATTGCTGGGCCCGAAATCCCAGAGGGCTGGTCTAGAAGAATCAAGGAATCCTAGCAACACATCAAGGCATCCAATCAGAAACAGCCTGAGAACGTTAACATAAGTAAACAGCACTGCTATTTACAGAAGACTGACCACACTGGAGAATGCGCAGGAGGAGAAGGTAGTTCTCTGGGCCGCTTTGCCTTTAAAACTCACCTTCCTGGCAGGAGGCTCCCCTTTTGACTGATGATATGATGGCGACGTTTTCACCTGGAAAAGGGGAAACATTTCAGTAACTTTTTAGATTATGGTTAAACTTTGACTCACATTGCCAAAAATTCAACTTAAATGGCTGTAGGCAAGCTTAAAAAAAATAACAAAACAAAAACCAAAATACCCAAGCTACTTTCAGAGAACAATGAATACAATTTTATGGAAAAAATTTCTGGAGATCAAAAAGTCAATAATAAAGCAACTTTGATGTATGATGAGGATACGACCAATAGAATGATGGTGTGTGTTCATGTGATTAGACGTGTGTGGATGTGTACATGTCCAGAGGCCAGAGGGCTTTGAGTGTCCTCAAGCATCTCCACCTCACGTTTAGAGACAGGGTCTCGAGCTGCACCTGGACTGGCTAGACTGGCTGGTGAACTCATCCACTGCTTCTGCCTCCCCAGAGCTGGGAATACATGTGAGTGGCTTTTTATGTGGCTATTGGGGATCTGAACGAGGGTCCTTATGCTTACATGCCAAGTACTTACCAAGTGAGCCATCACCTTTACCTTCAAAGTGGTTTTGATCAAATGGTGGAAGCTACATTGTTATGGAGCCTCACTGGTAATGCCGATCAGTGTGGGCACAAGAAATGCTCAGCACTGCAAAGGCCAGGAAGAGAGCTCTTGCTACAACATGGGTGAATCACAATTTGAGCTGCACAGAAGTCAGACCAAAAGCACATACGGCTTACAGTTCCACTTATCTAAAATTCTAGATAACGCAAATAATCTGGTGTGTCACGGAACTAGTGCGTGGCGACCAGGGGTGGGAAACAGTTCCCGGTGGCGCTGGTTGGAGGCAGAGCATGATCGTGAGTGGGTCACTTTATCTGCGCACATCTCAAATTCATGCACATTATCTATAGTTTATATCAATTATCACATAGAAACATTTAGATACCTTGGAGAATACAGCTACATCATTGGTATAGAACTTATAGCTTTATATGCTGTGTTAGAAAATAAAAAAGGCTTCAAAGCAAGAATCTGCATTTCAAATTTAAGAAACTAAAAGAAGTAGAAGAAGGGAAATGATACGCAGAGACACCAAAACAACACAGGCCACTGCCACTGTGGTTCCCACTAGGATGTGTGGGTAAGCGCTTACTGCTGAAGACCACGAGTACTGGTCACAGGACACGGAGAAATCAAGTCGGTACTGACCAGGAAGCTCCTGCCGGCTGTCCTGTTTTCACAGCACCAAGAGATGCTATGTAGACCACTGGCAATGGAGATCACCAGTAGTCTTTCCAGTAGTGTACCTGTGAGCTGTCATCGTGACAGGAACGGCAAGACCCGACCCATGGGTGCCTGAGTGTTACGCGGGTAACCAACTGCTTTCTGACTGATTTAAGGCCTGCTCTACAGGAGGAAACACACGTGTGGTACTATAATCTGACTAAGAACCCATGGCCTGGGAGCTTACAGGGGAGAACCTGTTACTATTACTTTTCTAGATGGACACAGAATCAAACTGCCCTCAAAATCCCTGTCTCCACACCCACGAGTTCGTGCGGCCCTCAGGCTTCCTCACAGAAGTCTCTTTGTGCAGCTGGTGGCAGTTAGCACAGAAACTCACCACAGTCAATGGGACAGCTACATTGCCACCCATCCAAGGCTCGGGGACCATTACAGAAGAGGAGAAGGAAAATCTAAAGAGGCAGAGAACCAGAGCAGAACAGAGTCTTCTGGACACACAGCAGCTATGGCTGCCTGCACCAGGTCAACCGAGTCAACATTCCAACACGTCTTGGGGAGAGGCTCATGAGCCCCAACCCCTAAGTGAGAAGCTGCCAACAATGGACAGCTTCTGGGCGAGGCAGAGCCAGCTTTCTTTAAGGATGTGGCCTCTGCTGGGCTGACCCCATTCCAGTGGATGGTCCCATAACCAGGGGTATTGGGCAGCACAAATGGGACCTGCTGGGTTATTAAAAAAAGAGGAGATAAAGATGGGAGGGGTGGAGAGGAGGGGGTGGGAAGAATTAGGGGTGGGGGGTAAATATGATCAAAATACATTATATGCATATATGACTTTCTCAAAGAATGAAAATACCACATTAAATATGTACAAGAACCAGCAGAGACCGGCTGGAACTCAAGTCTGAATACAGCCGACAGTGGGTTAATGAAGGCTGCCATTCGTGAGCTGTTAGGTTGAATCAGGAAACAGATTGAAATTTTATCCAAAGTGAGCTAGAAATGGTCAAATGACATAAAGAAATAAGATGCAAAAGAGAAATATGAAATAAGACATGACAGAGAACCAAATGAAGTGTGTAAGTTATTGGAAGAATGTGACTATAACGTCTCCCCCATGAGTGCGGCTACCAGCTTGTACTATAATTTAATACTTGAAGTTAGGCTCCTAAAGCAATAAAACACTAGCACTCGTAAGCTTTACATTATAACTTCTGAGATGTGGAGGTGTGAAACCATGAGTGAGCCTCATGTTCGCAATGTGGAGGTATAACCTCCTTTTCCACAGCATGGAATAAGGTTCTAAGCAACTCCAAGTTTCCCAGAGAGCATAAGCACCTGTCTTAGTTAGGGCTCTACTGCTGTGAAGACACCATGACAGCAACTCATATAAAGCAATACATTTCACTGGGGCTGGCTTACAGTTCAGAGGTTTAATCCATTATTGCCATGGTGGGAAGCAAGGCAGCGTGCAGGCAGACAGGGTGCTGGAGCTCAGAGTTCTATATCTTGATCCAAAGGCAACAGGAAGTGAACTGAGACACTGGATGTGGATAAGACCTCAAAGCCCATCCCTATAGTGACATACTTCCTCCTACAAGATCACACCTACCCCAACAAAGACATATCTCTTAATAATGCCACTCCCTTTGAGGTCATTTTCTTTCAAACCACCACATTCCACTCCATGACCCCCAAAGGCTTGAAGCATATCATGACGTAAAAATACATTCAGTCCAACTTCAAAAGCCCCATAGTCTATAACAGTCTCAAACTTATTTAAAAGTCAGAAGTTCAAAGTCTCTCCTGAGATGCATGCAATCTCTTAACTGTAATCCCCTACACAATTAAAATTTAAAAGAAGATCACATATTTCCAACATATAATGGCACATGATGTACATTACCATTCTAAAACATGGGAAGGGGGCACAGTGAGGAAATACTGGATCAATGCAAGACTGAAAACCAGTTGGGCAAACTCCAAACTCTGCACCTCCATGTCTGACGTCAAAGTGCTCTTCAGATCTCCAACTCCTTTCAGCTCTGTTGACTGCAGCACACTTCTCTCTCCTGGGCTGGGTCCACTCCCTGTTAGTAGCTTTCCTCGGCAGATATCCCACGGCTCTGGCATCTCCAACATCTTGGGGTCTCTAAGGCAATGCAGGATTCCCTTTCATAGCTTCACGCAAAAACTTCTCTAGGCCTCCATTCAGGGACACCCCTGACACATGCCTGGCCTCATCAGCTTTCCTTAATTGTGGAGGCAAATTCCACAGCCCCTTTCTTCTAACCTTGACTCCAGAACCACGTGGCTGAAGCTGCCAAGTTCTGCTGCTTATTGGGGCTAGAACACGGCCCCCTTGTTCAATTACATCTTCATCAACTTTCTGTTTTTGATGGCTTCCTGAATTCACTGCCTCAGCTTGGCTGTCCTGTAACCGGATCTGTACCAGGCTAGCCTTCAACTCAGTGATCTTTCAATTACATCTTCACCAGCTCTCTCCTTTCAATGATTTCCTTCACTGCCCAAGATTGGCTGCTTTGGAACTTGCTCTGTAGACCAGGCTGACCTCAAACTCCTGCCTGTTGGGATTAAAGGAGTGCACCATCACACCCAGCTCTAAACTTCTGTAATTCCTTTTCACAAGTTGGAAATTTAGCTGGGTGGGATCTTGCCCTGGGGTCACCACACCTTTTATTCCATGTGCTAATCTGCTTATCTCCTTGAATACAGGACTTAGCACCATTCCACTCTTTGGTGCTCCTTTTCTCCTTAAATATTTTTCCTTGCTCAGCTTGCTCTTTTTCATTATATAACTTCATTAGAGTTAACACTAGTAACCACACAATACAGTCTGTACTAGGCTGTTTTGAGATTTCCTCTGCCAAGGGAATTAATCCAAAACTCTTCAACTTTAGCCTCAGGAAAACTTAAGCAGCTACAATCTTCACCAAAATATCACAAGAACAATTTCTAGGCAACATACTAAAACTCTTCTCCTCTGAAACCTCTTAAGCCATCACCCCAAAGTTCAAATCACTCTTAGAACCACTGTCTTCCATGCTCCTACTGGTATGGCCCATTAAGCGGCGCTAAAAGCATTCTACTGCTTTCCTAATGCAAAACTCCCAAAGACTAAATTCCTCCAAACAAAAGCAGGGTCAGGCCTTTCACAGCAATACCCCAGTGTGGTGGCTTGAAAGAAAATGGTCCCCAAAGGGAGTGGTACTTTTAGGATGTGTGGCCTTGTTGGAGTAGGTGTGGCCTTGTTGGAGGAAGGGTGTCACTGTGGAAGCAGGCTTTGAAGTCTCATATATGCTCAAACCATGCACAGTGAGACAGATCACTTCCTGTTGCCTGCCTATTAAGACGCAGGACTCTCAGCTTTAGCACCATGTCTGCCTGCACACTGCTATGTCCCATCATGATGATAATGGACTAAACCTCTGAACTGTAAGTGAGCTACCACAATTAAATGTTTTCCATTACAAAAGTTGCCATAGTCATGGTATCTCTTCACAGCAATAGAAACAGAAACTAAGACAGAAGTTGGTACTAGGGACTGGGTGTCTTAGGGTTTCTATGGCTGTAAAGAGGCAACATGACCACAGCAACTCTTATAAAGGAAAACATTTAAATGTGGTGGTTGGCTTACAGTTCAGAGGTTTAGTCAACTATCACCATGGTGGAAAGCAAGGCAGCATGCAGGCAGACATGGTACTGGAGCTGAGAGTCCTTACATCTTGATCCAAAGGCAACAGGAAGTGAACTGAGACACTGTGTGTAGCTTGA